TTCATAAACATAAATCCACTCCTCCTCTGCTGCTGCCACAGGAGCTCCTCAGCTCCTCCTTCTCAGGCCAGCTGCACCTCCTTAGGTAATACAGCACACCTGGGCGGAGCTAAAGGAGAGGAGACAAGAACAACAGCACAGGAACACATACAGCCATAACACTGACTGTTTCTAATTTTAAGATCACACACACACACACACACACACACACACAGTGAGGCACAGACCAGTGTGAGAATCAATACAACTCCTTCATAATGAAACAAACTGCACAACTCTTCTTCAATATACCATGCTTTATTCCTCACATGTTTTCAGCTGTTTCTTAAAAGACAACAAAGAGTATTTACAAAACAACATGAGCCAAATATTAATAAAAAATACCTGAAAAATTAAGCAGAATATCAAAAGCAGGACTCATCATGTTTATACATTTTGGCTAACGATAATATAACTAAATTCATTATGACACAGTTGCATGAGAACAATTAACAGTTCATTTCAGACAGTTGAGAAAAACAACTTTTAAAAACATGTGTTTGTTCGATTATGATCTGATTAAACACAAGATGATGATAACCAGGTTAATAAATTGATCTGTACCTGTATGAGAGTTTATAACCTGATGATGTTTAACCAGGTTTAACTGTTGATTGTCTTGATTATTTCAGTGAGATCTGGACAAACAGTGAAGTCAGAGTAAAGTCTTCATTAACACCAACATGTCTGAACATCACAGAGAAATCTCACTTTGACACATTTTGATATCAGCTGTTTTAGCATCCCCAGCCTTTCCAATAAAGAAATATGGGAAGAGTTTCTCAGTGAAAGTGTCTCTGTGAGTGCAGATGTGAGTCATGTCTTCAGGGTCGTAGAAGGACACCTCCCCCCTGTCATAGTCCAGCTGGACTCTGATCCTTTGGAGACTCTTCTTCACTGTGACAGTCTCACCAACAACATCAGTGTATTTTCCATTTTCATACAATAAACACCAGATTCCATCTTTTGGTACAGCAAAAACCTCTCCTTTCCTGTCAACTGACTCTTTGGCCAAACCTATATTCCAGCGAGGATGGTCTCCCACCTCCACCTCCCAGCTGTGTTTCCCTGAGCTGAAGCCCTCAGAGCCCAGAACATTGCTGTAGTTAGTGTTTCTCTCTGGATTGGCAGGAAGCTGCTGCTTTGTGTCTCCATTTCTCACACTGGTCAGATCATCAGACAGATAGAGTCTTTGGTTTGTAGTGTTTGGGTCCAGAATGACAGGACTGAAGTGGACCTTGTCCTTCATCTTCTCCCAGACTCTGTAGGACAGGTTGCCCAGGTGTTTGGCCACATCTATCAGCGCTCCTGAGACCAGCTGTGGATCTGACAGTGAGCACTGGACTCTGGCTCTGCTCTGAGTGGCTTTATAACTGCTGAGGAATGGCACCTTGTGTTTCTGCAGCTCTTCTTCAACAGCACAGATACTGTGTGACAGAGAGGAGATCTGCTCCTCAATCATCTTCATCTCTCTGCTGAGAGTCTTCCCCTTCTGCTCCTCTTCCTCCCTCACAGCTGCCAGTCTGCACTCCTCTTCCTCTTTCAGGAACTGCTGGAGCTTGTTGAACTCTGCTCTGATCTGCCTCTCTGTGGACAACAGCTGCTTCTTGGAGTGTTCAATCACTTCATTGTATGTTTCCTCCACTTGTTTGTATTTGTCCCTCTTGTCCTGCAGAGACTTTAAGTCACATTTCAGCTGGTCCTTCAGCTCACTGACTGCTTGTTCTATAGGAACCACCTTGTGACCGTGGTGGAGAGAAAACTCACAGACAGGACACACAGCTCTATCTTCATCCATACAGAACAACCTAGGCTCTTCTTGATGTTTACTACACACCACCTCCACCTTCTTCTCTCCTTTTTCTGTCTCAGATGAGCCAGCTTTCTGTCTCCCAGCAAAGGAGTCAGCCAGTTCCTTCAGTGTAAAGTTCACATCTGGGAATTCCTTTGAGGATTTTCTTTTACAAATGGGACAGTTTTTGTTTTTAGCTTGTTCCCAGAATTTTTGCAGGCAGCTTGAACAGAAGCTGTGGTTGCAGCTCAGAGACACAGGATCTCTGAAAGTCTCTGAACACACATGGCAGCTCAGAAAACTTTCAACAAGAGCAATTTTTTCAGCCATTTGTCTCAATATCTAAATAGTCTTTCAAAAGCAAAACTCACCGAGTTACTGTCTCTTTGTCTGATTACTTCAAATACTCCAAACGTGTGTTTTCCAGCAGAGATCTCACACCCTGTAATGGCGTCTCAGCTCTGACTGACAGTGTAAAAATCTACTTTCATTTTCACTTGTGTCTGTCACAGGGAAATGTTGCTGTGTACATTAGTCACCAGCAGATGGAGGTGTGACAATGTGTTTCAGAGCTGAATATATTCTTCCTGATACAGGATAGTTTCCCTGTAGGGGTACACTGCAAAATGTGTAAAAAAATATGACTTTGTATGTTTTGTTTCACTGAATAAAGAACAGAAATGTTCACAAAATGCCACAAACAAGCAGAGGACTGTAGTGTTTTAGTCTACAGAGGAATGAACATTTCAACAGGCTGAGTGACACTAAACCAGTTTTACAACATTTATTATTTTTCAGCCAACAAGAAATGAACTGTGTTCATTTCATTCAGTTGGTCTAAATATATAGCACTCTTCACCTGCACTGACAGGAATCACAGTTTTCAAAATCTTAAGAACACACACAGTGAGGCACAAACCAGTCTGAAAATCAATACAGCTCCATCAAAATGAAACAAGTTGCACAACTCTTCAACAGTATGTAATGCTTTATTACCTCAGCCAACGAGGTTATGTTTTCGGTATGTTTTGGTTGCTTCTTCAGTCCCTGTTACACTGCCTGTTCAAGGGGGGGATTTCGCGTTGTTATTTCGCCTCGTTGTGCTTTATCAGAGATACGATCACGAAATGGGGCGACAGAGATGTCTCGGCAAAAGGTCGGCAGCAGATCAGTGTCTGTGTACCAGGACAACCAGCAGGACAGGACAGGTGTAATGTTTTGACAACATTTTGTGTGCAACCCAGTGCTGGGAGAATTAAAAAGCAGCAACTAGCAGTTAGCAGCTAACTTGAAAAACTAGGGAGATGATGAGGTCTGGGAGCTCCTTATCCTCCGAGCAGAGGACAAGAGAGACTGGACATTTAAAAGAGCCACTTACTAACTTGGACTACAAGTGAAAAAGCACATGGACATAAACACGCTTAAAGTGAAGTTATGTAGATGTACATCAAGAGTAGTGGTGGAAGACATATTCAGAGCCTTGAATAGGGACTGGTGTAACAGTGGGACTGTGAGATGCTGTCCCATTCCTGCATTCCTGGATCACTGCTATAGGCTTCTTTCCTCGTCACCATTACACTTCCTGCCAAAATAGCAAGAAAGCCAACACTTTTGTCAGTGACATCACCAAAAAAAAAAAAAAACAGGATTATGAGGCTTATTACTTGTCGTTCCACTAACGTTATTTACCTTCTTTCATGTCCCTGTGGTCTGCAATATAAAGGCAAAACCAGCCGGTAACTCAGAGCCAGAATCAGTGAACACTGAAGATCTATTCATGGAGCGGATTCAAAATCCCCTGTAGCTACACACTTCAGGAGGCCAAACATCCAGCCACTGCACTCAGTGTCTGTGGCATTGATGTAGTTAACCCTGGCTGCAGACATTCAGATCTGGCAACTAAACTCTTGCAGTGTGAAAGTCGATGAATCTTTCCTCTTAAAACTGAACAGCCTTTAGGCCTCAATGAAACACTTAATTTGTCCTGCTTTTATAGACATCTATAATTACCAGCATGGCCTTTTGGATATGCTGTGTCATGTTTTGTACTTTCTTCTTTTTGTTATTCTGTGTATAGTTGTGTATTTTGTACATTTGTAAAGGCTCTGCTATCATACACTGGTGTTTGAGGATGTTGAGAATAGTACAATACTCAAAGGACAGGTCATTCCTCAGGGTTGATCTCATTTAATTAGTGGTACCAGCTGGCTGATTCACCACACCTGGTAGTAATCTGTCTGTCATGTCATGGTTCTTTTTATTGGAAGTGCAAGATTTGGGGTCTGTGTGTAGTTAATGCATCTGAGGAGGTATGAAAAGTGTTATATAAATAAAGTTTTATTGATTGATTGATTGATTGATTGATTGATAATGTAATATAATATAATATAATATATAATAGAACATGATATGATATAATAGAATAGAATAGAATGGAATAGAATAGAACACAATATAATGTAACCGTACCATATGTATATTATTTCTAAAAGGTGTTATTAGTACTCCTGCTGCTGCTGTACCATTTTGGTCTATTTTTGTTGAGACAAATATTTCTTTACTAATATGGTAAGGGAAAGATTTAAGGGCTTCCATTAACACCACTTTATTTTGGAAGGATATTATACATATAACCAAGGTCACTTAGATAGCTGGGGAAGGTTTATTGAAGCTGAGGAGGTGTGATGAAGAGTGATGGGTCTCTACTCTGATCTCTTCAACAACGCCTTGTGTTTTCTTATATTTTTCTTTTTTTTTTTTCTTTTGATTTTGTCAACTTGTACTTGATGCAGTTGAGCTAGTTTGGAATATTGTTATGCCAATGTGACCTTTCTGTTGTATGACTGTTTGTCC